GGAACACCCTGATGAGGACCCTGAACGTCCTGTAGGAACACCCTGATCAAGACCCTGAACGTCCCGTAGGAACACCCTGATGAAGACCCTGAACGTCCTGTAGGAACACCCTGATGAGGACTCTGAACGTCCTGTAGGAACATCCTGACGAGGACTCTGAACATCCTGTAGGAACACCCTGATGAGGACTCTGACCATCCTTTAGGAATACCCTGATGAAGACCCTGAACGTCCTGTAAGAACACCTTGATGAAGACCCTGAACGTCCTGTAGGAACACCCTGATGAGGACCCTGAACGTCCTGTAAGAACACCTTGATGAGGACCCTGAACGTCCTGTAGGAACACCCTGATGAAGAACCTGAACGTCCTGTAAGAACACCTTGATGATAACATCATCACCCCTGTCTCTTTGTCAGTAGATGGGAGGAAAATCTTCAAGTCATCACAAGTTTGGTCCTAAATGTAGATGCCTCCCAGCCTGAAGCTGGAGGGTGAACTGCAGCAGAAGCTTCCGTCCAGCTCTGTGGAGCAGCTGACCCATAATGATTATGGACAGAATTTGGACATTTGGACGCCCCGACATCTTTCAGACATGAGCACACAGCAGAAGGTCGAGGCTTTAACAGATAAAAGAACAGGAGCAGATGAACATTCTCCATGGTTTTGTAGCGTCATATTTTTGACTCTTAAATATTTCACTCCCTGGCTACGGTGGCTCAGTGGTCAGTGCTACTGTATAACTCTGAGGCTGCAGGTTCAAACCCAGGTTGCGTCAGAACATGAGTTGTCCCACCGTGACAACCCCTGCAGAAAGATCAAAACTTTTCCCACCACATAAGTTGATGGGAAGGTCCGGAGCAACATGCTGAATACTGCAGCACAGAGACCCAACAGGACCCTGTAATAAAAGGAAGAGTGAGCTGCCTCTGTTAAACTGCTGCAGATTCATGCGGTGCTGCTGAAGACTCTGCTGTGATGAAGAGTGGAAAAGATCCGCTGTCGGCTCCAGGAAATGGGTTGGAGCGTCACTGGGAGCACCAGCCGCCCTGCTGTGATACCACGCTGCCTCTGGAGTCTGCTGTAAATGAGACAATGTGATGTTCCCTCTGGATTCGGGTTCTGATTCGCTCTCCAGAACCAAGGCAGAGCGTCAAATGGAGTGGATGGACCTGATCTTTAAGGTTTCTTGTGATGCTGATGGAGAGGACCGTCCAACACAGCTCTCTTTCCCTGATGAGCCGACGGCGTGGGTTTGAGCCTTCGTACGTCTGAATGTTTCAAAGATCAAACAAACAAAAGAGAACAGAAAGCACTTACGATGAGTGTCCATGTCCGTCCTGCACACTGGTCCTGTGGATCTTCTAGGTCAAGGAAACTCATAGAGACCAAAATGCGATTAATTTTTTTTTAAATTTTGAGACTTGTTTAAACTCTCCAGTTTCTATCAGCTGAAGGGTGGACTTTCATCTCAGAACTGAGACTGTTGGGGACAAAATAAACCCCCAAATTATACAAACTCATCCCACATCTGCACAAACTCCTGACATTCAGGAGCACGAGAGCACGGCCCTGAGGCTCACCCAGGGAAGTGGACTCTGATGAAGCTCTGAAGACGTGTTGAAGGTACAATCTGCTCTGAACCATTGCAGCAGAATGTCCAAAAGATGAGACGACTTTGAAGGATTGAGTGAAGCCAAACTGGGACTGGAGACAAGAACCAGAATAAATTACAACCAAACTGAGACTCAACAAGGTCCACAGTCAACAAGGTCCACGGTCAACGAGGTCCACG